CCTGCTTGTGGCCAGTACATTCAAAGGGGCACCCAGGAATCAAGCACACAACTCCAACTGATGGGCAATAATTTAGTGCCCACCTGTACTGGAAAACCCAGTGTTCATTCTTTTATCTCTGGCATACTGTTTCCCATGCCCAGAGATGAGGATGATCACCAAAAGTACCAAACCCATACGAAAAAAAGAAAAAAAAGATTTTTCCCCCAGTAATGTTGAGACATTGCGAGACTTATTTTTCATGACAGTTTTTTGCTGGGGGTGGGTCTACACTGCCTTTGAAACAAACCCAGGGGCACAGCCTGGAAATAAGTCCTTCAGGCACCTGCTCTGTGCACAGGTGGTTCAGGGCGCTATGCCCAAGCCCTCTACACTGCCCAGTTCTTGGAAGTGGCTGGGACTTAGTGCTCAGCAGTGCTTCTGGGCGCACTCCAGAGGCAATTTGAACACAGCCTGAGCTTCTACAATCATACACAGAGAGCGGATACTTTGGCCCCAGAAGGGGAAGAAATGGAGAAGAAAAGACTGGACTTTTGTGGACGTCCAGAAAAGCATTCTGAGCCTGGAGCAAATGTTTGAGGGAGCTGGAAGTTTGTCCACCCCATTTAAACCCTGGGAGCACCTCTGTTGGGAAATGCTGCTTTGCAATGTGCCATGTTATACAGCCTCCTACCTCCCAAAGAGACCGTGTATTCTCAGGCTAAAACGATTCCTCCCATAACAGCTTCTTCGTGCCTTTGACAGTTTGGAGAATCAATGTGCTATTTCATTCCTTGGCGCATCCGGGGAATGGCAGAGCCACTTCATTCTGGAGCTTATTGGCATTTACTAAGCATCTGTTTTAATGGGGTGCACTGCAGGGTGCGGGAGCTGTCTAGATTAGTGTGCTATCCATGCATCTTTACAAACGCTTCTCCCTTGAAGGAGCCGTCCAGCCAGCATTTGCTTTCCCTTGCACTGACGGTAAGACAGATAGGAACTGGATTAAGGGCCGAGGGAAACACTGCTGCCTGAATAAGTGGTTGCCCACAATCTCTAGGCTACACAAGGAGACATTAGGAATTGGAGAAGGCCTATTCTCCCATCTGGTCCAGGCCGTATGGTTGGTCCCTACATACTACAGCATATTTTTAAAATCCAGATCATCTTTAAGGGGCACAAGTGACAGGGCTGACTGTGCCTCTCCCCTGGGCCACTACTGAATCCAAGCCCCAGCTAGGGGTTAAAGGGCCTATGCTAATAGATTAAACATAAAAACTGAAATCCAGATATGTGTGCTATCATTGGCAATCCCATGAACCTTTGTATGGTCCTGCTATTGCTGTAAACAGCACTGTGCTGGGGATATTGGCTTATCATACAGTCATCCCATGAGCTAAAGCCAGGGCAACTTTGCAATGTGAATGGGACCAAATGATACTTATGGGTATTCCTGGACAGTGCTAGTGTTTTACAACTAAGCAGCTTCTTACCCCCCTTGGTTAAACCATAACTCCTTCCCTTTGATCATGCCAGGCCAACAGGTGCTTTAACGAGGGCTGGCTGGAAATTGTCACAGAGTGCATTTTCTGTTGAAATAATTGTCAGAGTCAAACGGTTCCACAGGAATGTGTCAATTTAGATAAGATTCTGGCAGGAAGGAGGCAGGTTTCAAACCTCCTTGGCAACGTGCTCTGCCAAGGTGCCAAGCCCCCAGCAATGAATCCAAGGCCCAGCCAGGAGTTTCAGGGGCCTGCGCTGCTGGATAAGATGTAAAACTGAAGTCCAGATGCATTTGCTGGGCATGTCTACACATGCAAATGCTGTGGGCTGGCTTTGCTCTAGAGTAAATTATTCTAGAGCAAACCCACCCCAGGCAGGCATCTACACATGCAAGGATTTGGGAGCAGATATGCTGTTCCTGGCAGCATGTCTGCTCCCGCCCCCCTGCAGCAACCAGGCTCCCCGCAAGGTGCTAGGCCAGGGGGTGACAGCTGTCTGCTGGCAGGGACTAGGAGCTTGCTCCCTGTCCCCGGGAGCTGCCTGCTGCTGGAGCGGGCTCTGGGGATGAAGCCCGAGCAGGGACAATGTCCCTCTGCCGCGGCAGCAGGGAGCTCTGGGCCACGGCTCCCTGATCAGAGGCAAGGGGCTTGGAAAGAGCTACAGGGGAGGGGCAGGTCTCAGCCCCCTGCCCCAACCCACCGGTGGGGCAGCTAACAGTGAGATCCCAGCTGGGCACCCGGTAGCAATTTAACTGCAGAGTAGAGGAAATTACTGTGCAGTAAGGATCATCACATGTAAACAGTGATGCTTACTATGCAGTAATTAGCTCTACTGCATAGTACAGTGTCTGGTGTAGATGCGCCTGCTGTCTAGCAAGCCCCTGTCTCTGAGCCTCTAAGTAAAGACCTGCCAGTACTGTCAGTAGCACTGTGCCAGGGGCATCTGCTTGGGGCACAGCAGCCCCCTGACACAGCTAATGCTCAGATCAGCTTTTACAGGCATTTTTCTTTGCAGTCTCTGAGGGGTCCCCAAGTGCCCTTACTCACCTGGCAAATTCATGAAGAACTAGATCCCTCTGGGACTCAGGGCTCTCCAGGCCCCCTCATGCAACCAGTTCACCCCCTGGTCAGCATCAGGGTTGGTACAGATGACTAGCTTCTCAGGTTGCCTTTCTGGAGGGCAGGCAGGTGGTCTGTCCATCCCCCTGGCTGTCTGTTGAGCAGCTGGAGAACCAGGCAGCCACTCCAGAAATACCTGCCAAGCTGCTTTTTTCCCCGTTTTGCTACATCATGAGAAAGTTTCCCAAATCTTTCTGCACAGCAGAAAATCCCATTAGCGCTCAGCTCCAGCTTTACTCGCAGCGTCCTGTCCAGATACCAGTTAGGGTAATGACATTCAGCCCCCCTGAGTTCGCCTGCAGTTTTGATTGGATGTGGTATTTATCTGGTCCTTATCCTGATTGCAGCATTGCTGTGCACTCTGAAACAGCAATCAGAGCCCAGAGGCGATGGCGTTTCAGCAGTGGTTAGAGCACCAGCCTGACAGGCAGGCCTCCCGACTTCTATTCCTGGCTCTTGACTTGCTGGTCAGTTTTGGGTGAGTTTGCTCCATGCCTCGGCTGTGCTAACTGTAAGTTAGGAATAACAGAATCTAAGGGACAGAGACAGGTGTAATTCCGTAATAGTTTGTAAACTGCTTTGATGAAAGGTACCATTGAAGTATGAGCAGAATTACATATGCACTCACACATGCATGCATGCACACACGCATGCACGCTTCTTCGCTGCATCTCCAACAACAGCTGTGTCAAGCTGAGAAGATGCTGATTTGGTGAGAATGAGTCTATGGGGTCAGTGGAAGAAATGATACCTAAAGACAAAGCTGCATTCATTCAAGTGGGAATGCAAAATGCGCTCCATGGCAGATGATCACCCCGAGCTACTTGAGCGCAGCTCTACTTCCAACGCTTGCTGGTTAATGACCTGACATGAGAGTAACAGCAGGAGAAAAACAAACAAGGGCCCTGACTACAAAGATTTCTTGCTAGCTCCCTCCCCTCCCCCCCTGCACACACATGCCCAGACACATGCACATGTGCATGCCAGACTTTTCTTGGAAGTTCGTAACCTTGGGGACACATGAAATGCAGTGCTGATACATGAGCGCGTGCCATGGGAGCGCTGCAGGCACCGAACATCGGCAGTGGAACCGCACGGGTATCTTCCTGCTTCCCTCTCCAGCCTGAGGGCATCAGAAGTAGTTTGGGAGCCTCTCTGGACAGCAGAGAATTAGCAGGGCAACTCGAGACCTTATGTCCTCAGCTTGCTGGCATCTCAATTGGGGTCCTGGTGAAGCTGTTGCATTGCCACACAGACCCCAGATACCCAACCTAAGGACAGGTGCAAGGCTTGTCACAGTAACTGCTGCAGGCAGCCAGCTGGCACAGGGCACTCTGAGGGACTCTCTTCCACAACTTCTGCTGTACCTTTTCTTCCTCATGGTCCGGCTTTCCCAATATCTCCCCCTTTTCAGTGCACAGTTAAAGGCTGCATGCAGCACGGAGTCGCCAGCCCCACAGTATCTACCCTCCAAGCAAACCTACCGCTCAGACACGGTGGTCCTGACATAAGATTTTTCCAAGGAATATTGTATTATATATAATTAACAACACGGGCAGGGCAATATCTGTAGGTCACTCCACTTCACCAGCCTGCGAAGCAGACAAGACTAAGAGATGACAGACACTAATTAGGTGGAACCATCAGAAAAAGCCAGCCCATTTTATTTTACCTGATCTACACTTTTAAATCTCTCACCTCAGTAATCAAAGTCCAACCTCTGTGAAGGTTGCACAGACAGGCATTGATTTTTAAATGCCTTCCTAATGCAACTTGGCTGCTTGGACTATATTGTCTTAGTAATCTAGGTAAGTCTGTTTGATCCTATGGCCTCACAGCATATTAACTTGCTTCCCAATTTCATTCACATGGCTGAGTTCCTGCTTGGAAATGTTTTCCAGTGACCAAGTAGCATGTGTGTGGGATAGCTTTATATGATCCATATGTATTACAATGAGCTTTACTCTTACTTCGAGACAACTGAGCAGAATCTGTGCTATGGAAGGTATTAGGTAGGTCAAAAAGGTCTGCATACAAATGTAAAGTAATATTAATTCACATACAAGAGGATGGGGAGGAAAGATTTGCTTGTGGTTCAGATCCAGACTTTCTGGCTGGATGAAATATTTATTTGAAGATTTTTTTTTTCACAGATTGCCTGTGAACTGTCTTTTTTTCCCCCCTCAAATTTACTCATTTTCTGAACTACTTCACTCAAGAGTTTCTGGGAATAATTCTTGGCTTGCCTCTTATTCACAAGCTGTTCGCTGGGTGGTTTTGATATGCAAAATGCAAACTGCTTTGATTGGACAAGTGGGCCACATGGCATATTTGGATGAGTGTAACTCCAGAGGCAGTTTCTTGGTCCAAATTTGCAGGATCGCAAATTCCAAATGTGTTTCCCATGGACAAGCTACAAAATCCACTTAAAATTCACAGTTTCGCAGGCATCCCTGCCAATAAGCCTATTCACCAAAATATTCATAGGAAACAAACATATAAACACATACAAAAAGGCCAAAAAAAAGTCAAGCCAAAATGTCTGAAAAATTCAAACACACTTCAATATTTTGTTTTAGTCTTCTCCCATTTCTAGTGGCTCTGGATCTGCTAGGTATTTCCTAAATGACCTTGTGCCCCATAGTTTCTTCCCTCTGGAAAACAGAGTAAAAAAGGGCTACATAGCCCACCGAGGGAATTGTTAAACTGAATTTAAGCACTTTGAGAGCCACACAGGGAAGATGCTTAGCAGCACAATTATATCTGAGGATATCAAGTGATTAACAGACGCTAATTAAGTTTCACAACCCTCCTATGAGGTAGATATATTTTATTATCCTTGTTTTACGGGTGTGCCCAAAAAGGATGGTACCAGAGGCAGGAAGCGGCTGGCGGGAGCCAGCAGTGCTGATATATTAGCACACACCATGATCTGCTAAGGATGGGGATTAGCTTGGCAGGGCCTGAATATGCCTTGTGTTGAGATGAAAGTGCAATTCGGGGTGATGGAGGCCCAGTATAGAAGACAACAAGTCTGGGAAGACCTCTCTGGATGGAAAAGCACAAGCAACTGTGGGCATCCTGAAGCGGTTCCAGGCAAAGACCAAGAAGGAAGCTCAAGACCAGTAAATGTCATTGTGACCAAATGATTTTTTGGGAGATGAGCTAACAGCCCACTCGCAGAAAACAAGTATAGATAGATGCAGCTGGAAGTATACCCCCACCTCACCCCACCCCGCATATGGACACACAACATACTCCTGTGTCCTCACAGCCACTGACAACAGCATGCAATAAGCCTGACATCTGTTCACAGTGAGACGTGCATTTCAGAGACAGGTGCTAACTTCAACACTGCCCTGCTGCAAGATGGGTGCGAATGCACGGCCCAAGCTCACTTGATTTGCTGATGCTGACTGAAAAGAAGTGAAGTCGCAAGGCAAAACCGTGGGTGGGTCTTAGGTCTTTTCTACCTGCTTCTGCTGACATAAAACGCCTGCCACGGCTGAGTCTCTATAGCACACACGTATCGGTGTGCTCCACACGGCTTCACTGCTTCAGACAGTGACGTTCACACTAGGAAGACACCAACTGCTGAAGGGACGATGGTGACTTGCAAAGGCTTCCTGCTAGCTATGGAAGCCTTCTTTCACTTGGGCAAGCCGGGTGCAGCTAGGCTGGCAGAAAGAAAATCTCTATTGCAACAGAGGACCTCTGAATGTGAGCCCACTCCAAGCTCTGCTGGCAAATCACTCAAGCATAGGTGAGGCCTAAGGACTCACGGTTCCCAGGGATGCACAACCCCATGGCTATTGAGCTTGTGACACAACTCTCTGGGAGTCTGAGCTACAGAACTCAGATCAGATGTTTAAGCTTCTTTTCCCCCCTCCAATATTCAGTGCTTGGGCAATCTTTTTTGCAGAGGATCTTGACATTTTGGAAATGGCTTCCTTATAATTTGGAACAACTTCCCGGCCCTCATTTTCAGAGTTCTTGGAGAGGGAATGTCTCCTTTCTGCCCAGCTCCGGGAGCCCTGGCTCCAGTCTGCTTGGTGTGGTACCCTGGAGATGTAGGCCTTCAAAGCCTGCATTGCCAAAGGTGTGGGAGTTTGGGGGCTTTGGAGCCTGGATTCCCAAGGCTTCCAGTCCCCTGGCTCTCCATTAGCAGAGCAGAGCAGCTGCCAAGGAGCTGTAAACCTGTCAGTTCAAGCTGTTGAAGAACCAAGTGAGTGACCTGACTGGGAAACGGGCATACTTTCTGATGGAAACCTGCCATAGATCCCAGCAGATATTTGTCAGAATACAACCATCTCTGCAAAATGTTTTGCAGCCAATGATTTATTTTCTGTTTTTCTTGAGAAAATGGTTCACTGTTTTTGTTTTGTTTTTTGATGTGGGCCTTTACAGGAATCAATGGCATGGTTCAGTTCTGAACTGGAACATCTTGTCCATCCCAAAATGTCCAGCAGTGCCTTGGTCTAGGACAATGCTCAAGTGTAGCTCTGTCTGGTGAAGTCTCTGTGTCCAGCCAGCCTGGCTACAAGTGATTCAACTGGGGTTCAGTTTTGATTCAGCTGGGCTTCCACCTGAACCTGCGTCTCTGGCCTGAAACAGCTTGGTCTGTCCGAGCCTGTTCTCCATCTCAGCATATCGCACTTCAGCTCAACTAACTCAAGAGAAGCCAAGCAGCAGAATAACAGGGAGTGCTGTACATTAAGAGTGACTTGTATTGACAGGACGGTGGGAGATCCAGGACTGGACTAGCATGATATCAGAAGGGAGGTGAGGTACACCGGACTGGAATAGCAGCGGGTGTTGAAGGTCATGCTAGGGAAGGTGATTTGCAGAACAGCAGGTGGGGAAGTTGTTGAATGCCTGCCTGCAGTACGCTCCGTTTTCACCACTCATATTAGGCCAGCACTTCCCTAAGTACTAGGCTGACTCACAGCTTTGAAACAAAACCTGAGTCTGGAGAGAAGCAATGGGATCAGAGGCATGTTTTCGATCCACAAAGTCAGCTACTTAAAATGGAGCATGACATGACTTCCCTTCATGCCCTTTTTCCCAAAGCCCCAGATGCAGACATTTTTTTTTCTCAGCTGTGTCACATTTCACAACACACTGGAATGAGTCAGGACATTTGATATTTGCAGATTGTCCCCCATGATGTTTCAACCTTTGCCTTTGAGGTTTTTGCTGCAGAGTGTGAAAAAGACCACGGTTAGGACGAATAGTGGCCATTAGGCAGACTTGCCAACTCCTGGGAAGTGAGATTCCCTCTTTGGGGATTAATTCAGAGGCAGTTTTCAAAAGCGTTCCTCTGCTGGAATGAGGGATCTTGCGATGCGACTTGATGAGACATTTGAAATCTCACTTATAAATGTTTAAAATCACACTCGTTCACATTGTCAAAGCTTGGCAGCCTCGGTGTTAAAAACTTCCTCCATGTCAGAAGTTATAGTTAGAGCTCTGAGTTTTATTCTTCCTCAAGGTACAGCGCTGAATTCCAGGGATGCTGCCGACTGCCTGTGCAAACAGACCACGGATGTTTTATTTTACCTTAGGACGTGTCTAGAAGGCTTGGTAATAAAAATGCTCAATTCTGGACTATGCTATCACTCCCACCTATTGCTAGCATGGATGCAGATATGCTAGCACTACACCCAGGGTAGGAGAATGCCTTGACTTTCTCAGTGCAGACATGGCCAGACCTGCCTGAGATTGATGTCGGGGAAGTTAGTCGAGGTTACTCTGGTGTACATGGGAGTAGAATTTGGCCCTGAGTCTTGTGCCCCATCAAGAACAAGTGTTTGTCTCATCGCCAGTGTAACCTGAAGACACAGGAGCCATGACACTGAGTCTGCAGAAACCAGACCCCTATTCCTTAACAGAGAACGAGCTAATTACATCAAAATGCTGTCATGGCAAAATGTAAAAATAGAAGGATGGGGGTGGTCATCCAGAAGAAGGCAAAGGGAGGAGATCCTTACATGTCATATCAGAAAGTCAACACACTGGGACCCATTTTCATTCACGGAAATGAGAGCTATGCAACTCATGCTTTGTCCCTGCTTTGAACCAGTCAGAGGATGAGAAAGTGGTCCTTGATGCAACAAAGTTAACTTTTCTTATGGTTATCTTGTTCTCTCTCTCAATCTCACTTTTATCTGTCGCTGCTGAGCACTCATCACCTGGTGAGCTGGATGCCAGTTACTTAACTCTACAGCTCTTCCTAAAACTATCTGTCTATCCAACTCAGATAGATGGATAAAAGGGAGGCATCTCATGGACCTGTGAAGTGTCAGGTTTCAGATCCTCATACATCCAAACATAACACCAGTGAGGCTTGACTTAGTAACCATTATGACTCTTGTTTTAGCAATGTTTCAGGTAATGAGACAGCACACACCTTCATCTCACTGCATATACATGCACGCAGGTATAACATTAGTCTTTACTTGTTCCACCTCAGATTGTCTGACGCTGGCTTAGTCCTTCAACTGGTTACCTTTTCAAGTGAAGTAGCTATGCCTAAATTCTACTAATTCACTTATTAATTTATGGTTGGATTTGCATCAGTGAAGCACAGCAAAGGCAGATACCGAGTCACACAGGATTCAGAGAGTGGCATGAGCAGGTTTTGCATTTTAGTTTAATTTGGTGAAAAAAAATCATTTGCAACCCCCTCCACCCCAAAAGACCTGGGCACAATTCAGTGCTATTTATCCCACAAGGGTATCAAAGCAGGGAGAATCACTTCTGAGAGAGAACAGCAAACTAGATGGCCTGGAATAGCTCAGCAGAGCACCAGTGCTCCATGGCCTGCAGTGAGAGATTTCTGTGTAGAAGGGTTGTAACCAAAGTACTTTGCAATCAGGACATAGCACAAACCTTCAGGTCATCACAATTGACCTTAAATGCAGCTCCTTGTTCCATCTGCCTTAGCATCTCAAACAGGAAACCAAATCAAGGGGAAATCCTAAAGCAATGCTCAGGCTGAACTCAGAAGCTGAACAGATTCTGCAACTGGCCATGTTAGGGCTTGGCTGGACGCTTGGGGGGAGCTCAACTCTACTGCTGTACATTGAAAAGCTTAGTGGCAGATGCTGGCAGCAGCCACATTTGAGTAGCATAATATAAGGAGAAAGATGAGTAGCTGGATTTCAGGGTACCTAGGGCTTTAAAGCACAATAAGGAGTTAAACCATCCAGGGCAGATGTGGTTAGTCATCCTGGAAAGATGCTTCACTCTTACAGTGGATGGCTGCTGTGTCCTGAAGTTGCTACAGCTTCCAGGACCTCATCAAGGATGGCTTTCTGGCCCCACGGCCAGGAGGTATGGCTGGGAGTGGTGAGCTGCATGTCAGCAAAGAGAGGTCACAGTCTCCTTGAAGACTGCTTTCAGCTGGCGTTACTGGATGCGCTCATCGAGGAGCTGAGAGACTCATTGGGACCCCTGAGGCTTTGAGTCATATGAAGTCTGGCCAGGAATCCTCAGTATTACCATTCACTGGACAGAGTGGAGAGTTACGCTGTTTGGTCTAGCAGTGAAAATGAGATCTCCATACACGTTAAGTCTGACTCGCTAATAAGTGTCAAGTGCACATCAACATGGCTCACATGTTTCTTTGAGAAGAAGCCACCTGGTGACAGCAAGTTACAGGCTCCCTTTTTACTCATAATCAGGGCAGGAGAGATCTTGCCAGACACTGTATGAACATATAACAAAGAAAGGTTCCCTTTAGACTTAAAACACAGAGCCAGATTTTACTCTCGCTAGCTGGCAACATTTTTTCCACCAGTAGCAGAGTCCTGTTCCTTGTGTTACAGTGAGAGGCAGAGGGACAAGGCGATTGTATCCCATTCCCTATTCTCCTTCACCAGTTGTGGCAAATCAGAAAATGACCACAATTTTGCTATGCCTTTCCCCTTCCCTTACAAGGGAACCTGGCTGCTATTGTATCTGGACACAACGGACCCAACACAAAGGGAGTGGCAGAAAGGAAGATTCAAGCCGGATAAAAAGTTCCAGGCCTCGAACCAGGTGATTGAAAACAAGGTACTAATGGCATTGGGAATATCAGCACCTCACAAAAGCAAGTACCAGACGGAGACATGACTGCAGCTGCCTACCCTCTAAAGTTGTCCCGCTATAATGACCCTGGTATAGTCAAAGTGGTACAATCTCCAGTGCAGGCACAGCTATACTGTAAAAATCACAGCTCTCACTGACATAACAGAAAAGTGGGGGTAGACCAAGCTGAAAAGGGAGGAGGGTTGAAGGATTATAACCCAGCTCCTGAGGTCTGCTGTGGCTCTGTCTCCCTCTGCCACAGCTTGCTCCTGAATAGCCAGGGCAGCAAGAAGGACAACTTAAGAGTTAAACGAAACAACTCTCTGCCCCTGAAACATCTCAGACTCCCGCGACCACAGCCCTCTCTCTTCTTTGCACTCTCTCCTTACCTACAACACTGAAGACTTACTACCCTGAGAAACAGCACGGTTTTTTCTCGGTCCTCTTGTCAGTAACACCATACCTTTCACTTTGCTTTTAATCAACATTCCTTCTTCTTTTTTTAACCGGGTTGTTCAAGATTTCCAAATGTTCGTGGGTGAAACAAATATGTTCTCCCCTCTCCTGCTCATACAAGCCACCCTCTTCCAAGCAGGCTGTGCTGACCCAGCGTCCAACTCACAGGCTGGGGTGAGGGTGGGTGTGGGAGTGGGCAAAGCTGTTCTCCTGAAAATACTTTGAGGAGTATTTCTAAGCCAAGGGATGACAAGAAGTGAGCAGCGCCTGCCCTGAAA